CTCAGCCAAAAGGTCGAGAAGCGTTTATATTTTTTGCCACCCTACGCTGACAGGATGTGACACAAGGTCAGTTTAATGCAGAGAGCCCAAGCACATGCACCCAGGCCAGGGCCCCAAATATCCCAACCCTGTTGGTTTTGCTTGCATCGGTATTACAACCATCTACTCTCTTTATTGCAATGAGGGAGGTACTGCTGTGGAAACTGTTCCCCGAGATCGGATAACTCTCAATAATATTTTCAGTTGCACTCTGTCCACAGACAGAGGCACAAATGAGTCAGTCTCTATCCGATGAGAGAGACACTTAGAGATAAAATGTAGTTTATTCGACCAAGGGCAGATACTACTCTTAGAATCCTAGGCAAAAGGCTGAGAAACGTTGACCACTGCGATAAAAGTGTCATTTTCAAATGCAAAGTATCAAATGATGGAAACTTAGTAAAGTAATCACCAAAAATCCAGTTATCATAAATAAAATAACATTGTTGAATTATTTTAAAATTACTATTAAGAGAAATGTAAGATAGGGATTTGGCTAGAAACAAAGAAGAGAAGATAGACGTGTATAATGTCCCCTGACAATACACTACAAATAATAGACTATTGTGTTTTGATTGTGTAGAAAAACAAGAGAAAAACACTACTTGGTTTCAGTGAAAAAAATGAAAGAAAGAAAGAAGGGAAGTGGGAAGTGTTTAATGGCTGCTTCAATGAAATTGAAAAAGTTGTCAATTTCAAATTATCATCATTATTATTACTATCATCATCTTTATTTTTATCATCATCCTTATCTACATCACTATTATTATTATCATTAGCATCATTATTATTATCACCTTCATTATTATTATCTTATCATCATTATCATCATCATCACTATTATCTTCATTATCATTATTATTATTATTATTATCATTATCATCATCATTATTATTACCATCTTTATTACTATTTTCATTATCATCATCATTATTATTATATTCATCATCATTACTATTATCCTCATCATCAATATTATTACCATCATTATTATTATCTTCATCATTATCATCATGAACATTATTATGTTTATCATCATTATTATTATTATCATCATCATTATTATTACCATTATTATTACTATCTTCATCATTTTTATCCTCATCACCATTATTATTATCGTTATCATCATCATTATCTTCATCATCATACTTATTATAAAACCCAGGTTGTGTGTGTGTGTGTGTCTGTTCGTTTATATATTGGATCGTATTTCCTACATTTTTCAACCGATTTCAACAAAACTTCACAGGACTACGTAAAATTACCTTGCAGTGGTTCTGACAACGCCAAAAAATGGGAAAAACACAATTGTTTTTGCACGAAATCAATTTGAAAACACGATTAAGAGTCATCGCTGATGAGAGTATAAAAGGGGGACAACTCATATCGAGTTATACTTATTATAAAACCCAGGTTGTTTGTTTGTTTGTGTGTGTGTGTGTGTGTGTGTGTGTGTGCGTGTGTGTGTGTGTGTGTTCGTTTATATATGGGATCGGATTTCCTACATTTTTCAACCGATTTCAACAAAATTTCACTTTTTTTTTGGCAGGTAGTGTTTCTTATTGTCTTGCACACTTTTTTCTTTATTTTTACATTCAGAATGCTTTAAAAATTCCATTTACAAGACAATTGTTTATACTAAAATTCTATTCAATCGGTAGACTCATAACGATGGAAAACAATGTTTTTGTTTGAGTTTGGGTTTTACCAATTCGTAAAAAAACAAAAAAAAACAAAAAAAAAACTATGTTGTGTAGTACGAGTTTCCCCCTCATTATTATTTTTACGTCTTAAAATAATGATCTGCTTTCACATTTATGAATGTTATTGAAATATTTTATTAAAGCTGTTAAACTCAAATAATTAATGATGCGATACTAGAATTTCTGCAGATATTTTATTGTCATAGAACTCACAATGTGCTTATTCAATCATTAACTGAAGAATTAATATCCATCAGAAATTTCAAATAGGAAGATTGTGAAAGTGCCACAGGTCTAGTTTGAATTGTTTTTTAATATCTTGCTGGTCAGGCTGAGGACTTTCAAGACAGTGACCACTGTGAATATTTTCTCATCAGATAATATTTTAATAGTGGACCTATGATTCCTGTTACTCCTGATCATTTGAACCTTTCCAAAATCCTGGGTTTCATGGACTTCAAAAATTATTGTCTTAAAGTCAGTGTCGTGTAAGGCTGTTCTTGTGATCTGGCTGCTATCTTCCACAGAAGAGCATTGATGAAGTCTCAATCTTGCTTGTTGTTGAGCCTACAGCTAATCTGCTTCTATTGCCCATGTCTATGGCCTTTTTGACAGTACTCAAGGACATGATGATTTTAGGGTCGATTTGTCGGTATTTGTCCTTCTGAGGAATCATTTTCCTTGATATGTCCGAAAAAGAGGTGCATACTCATATCAGACTGTCTAGTCTTTGCTTTGCCTTTCGTTTCCCATCGTTTGATGGAGAGCCAGTGGAGAATTTGTGTTTCTTTTTACTACAATTCTTGCATCCACATCCTGTTTGGATAACGTAATTGCTCCAGATTGCTCATATCATTATTTCCATTCCAATGTTTCCGGATCTTTTAGCAAGACTTTTGATTTGGAAGTAAACGAAGGGATTTTTTTTTATCTTAGAATTTAGCATATTACACCGAGAGAGTCTTTCTGTGTATGTGAGCCATTGACATGTACACAATCTGTTTCTTCTATCTCATTGAAGGAACTCTTGGGATTTTCTTCATATGTCTATCAGCATTTTTTTAAATGTATCATCATTTTTATTATCATTATCATTGTTATCATTATTATTATAATTATTATTATCATTATTATTATCATTAATTTCATCATTATTATTATATCCATCGTTATCTTCCTTTTTTTTTTCTTTTTTTTTTTTAAAGCATTTCACCCCAAGCAAGGCGGGAAGCCACTAGGACGCAAGGGGTTACAGAAAATTTAGAGCAAGATCAGATAGGAGTGATAGAAGAAAGGATGAGGGTAGTGGATAGATCAAGGCAATTGGAGATGTCGATTGACATTACACTTGAATGGCTGGAGATTATAGCTCACAGGGAAACAGGAATAGGGAAGGGAGTTCCACAGGCGAAAGTTGCGAGACATGAGGCTATTAGAGTAGAAGAGACGGCTACATTTAGGAGTTTCGACAGTTAAGGGGTGAGAGCGGGATGCCAGCCTCGTAGGGCGCTGGAACTCGTGACTCCTGGGATTTTCTTCATATGTCTATCAGCATTTTTAAAAAAATGTATCATCATTTTTATTATCATTATCATTGTTATCATTATTATTATAATTATTATAATTAATTTCATCATTATCATTATATTCACTGTTATCTTCCTTTTCGTCGTTATTAATATTATTACTATTATTATCTTCATCATCTTGATTATTATCATCATTATTATCTTCATTATTATTGTCTTTGTCTTCATTATTATCCCTATCATTATTATCATTATCATTATCATCATCATATTATTACCATTTTGTTTATCATCATTATTACTGTTATCTTCATTATTTTCATCATTATTTTTATCATTATTATTATTACTATCTTCATTATTATTATTTTCCTCAACATCAGCATCAACACTATCATCATCATCATTATTACTATCTTTGTTATTATTCTTATCAGCACTATTATTATTATCATTGCTATTATCTTCATTATTATCATCCTCATCAGCACCAACATTATCATCATTATTATTTCTATCTTCATCATTATTATCATTATCATTATTATTATCTTCATCATCATTATTATTATTATTATTATTGCCATCATTATTATTACTATCATTATTATTAGTAATTTTCCAAGCATAGCTTAGATGTGGCACAAGGCCGAAAGTATGGGACACCCAGTGAGGATCGAACTCACTATTCAGTCATAAATGATCTAGCGGGACATGCTTGCTAACCTTTACCCCACCTTGAGGTGCCCAAACCATCATTATTATTATTAGCATCATTGTGGTCATTGTGTTTTATGTTGAGTAGTACCTGTTTCTCCACCAGTTCTTGACCAGAGAATGACAACAGAAGATGAAAACAGGTGAGGTACCATGCAGACACAGTGAAGAAAAATATGATCATAGTCACTGCATCGAGAGAAACCTATGCAAGATGTGAAAAGTACCATGAGTATGATTTTTATTTTATTTATTTTTTTTTTTGCAATTTACATATTTTAGGACAACGAATTTGATCTACACATTTGATTACTACATTTGATATCATTCCCAATGCCCCGTTAACAACAGGTATTATTATTATTATTATTATTATTATTGTTACTATTACCATCATCATCATCATCCTCATCTTCATCATCATCATCATTATTAATATTGTTATCACCACCATCATTATTATTATCATTGTTATTGTTATTATTATTATTATCATCATCATCATCATTATTGCTATTATTATCACCACCATCATTATTATTATTATTGTTATCATCATCATCATCATCATCATCATCATCATCATCATCATCATCATCATCATCGTTATTATCACTATCATTATTATTATCATTATTATTGTTATTGTTATCACACAATCATTATTATTGTTATCTTTATTTTTTTTGATTTCTGGCATTTACACATTTCTCTCTGGGTCCAGCCCAGGGACCTAAGGTTAGAAATGGTATCATGACACTTTCCACTGACCCCCAAAAAAAATTTTTAAAAAATACATCGATAAAGCCCTTTGTAAAGTGTGGGCTGTACTTGTCAGAACAATTTTTTGTATCTTCTTGAGGCATGGACTTCCAGGAATCCCTTCAATTAGTCTACTGGAATCTTTTCCAACCAATCCTAGGGCCCCAACTACAACAGGGATTGTCGATGTTCCCATATGCCACATTTTCGAGATTTCTATTTCAAGGTCCTTGTATTTTGACAGCTT